GACTCAACATGGAAGAATGTGTAGTAATCTGGCTTTCTAACTGCGTCTAATAGTTATAATTAACAGAGCTTTCAATATCTACATAAAAGGGCATACGGTTCCCACCAATGCAAGATTTGGGGAGGGTCACTCAGGATTATACACCAAATATAGAGAAGCTGTTTACGTGACTTAAACCCTAGTTCCCAGATTGCAAAGGAGCACATCAATGGTTTTAACATTTTACCAGTGATGGTCTAAATTAGATGACATTTTTTGAGCTTAAAGTTTTGTTTTGTTTTGTTTTTGATCTACCTAAGCACATGAGTTGTTATTTGTCTTGCATTTACGGTTGTTGCTTGAATTACTTGGTGTTGCTGGTTTTGAAATGCAGTTTCCTATGGTGTCAAATTCTCTTTGTATTATGATATTTTAATTGATGCAAGTATTGACATTTTTCAGTGCTTATATATATTTCTGGTCTGTCGGTAATATTTTCTTAAGTAGGAACTCTAGAACTTATCATATTTAGTGTTCCCTGCTTGCAGATTCTAACTTTGTTGGAGGGTGCAATAAAACGAGGTGTTCTTTCTACAACCTTTGAAACAACAGCTGAATTGTTGAGTTCTGCTAATCCAGGAGTTGCTGCAGACAATAACACTGCTCATTCGGGATCAGTTCCTGTTTTGCCATGGGTGCCTAGTACCTCGGCAGCTGTGGCATTAAGGCTGTTGGATCTTGATTCTTCAATTTCTTATATGCTGCACCCGAAGCTGGAGTCTCATAAAGGAAAGGAAGGAGATTATATTGTAAGTTATCCTTTTTCCTTTTTTGTTACTTCTGGGATTGCAATCTTGATATTCTGTGGAGTGGAATGAGGAAATAGTTAATGTTTGTAGAGCATTGACTTTATAAGATTATTAGTTTTTCATCTACTAATGATAGAGATTAACTTATAGAATTCATTGTTTGTTACTTTTAGTTTGTAAAATGGATCTTTGCTCCTACCAACCCTTGGTAGTGTCTACACAAAAATAGAAGTTTGAGCTATGTTGATCTTTCACTTTTCACCTTAAATGAAGTGATACCATCCCATGGTGGCATCTAAGAAAATTGAAGTTTGAACATATGCTGACATTTCATTTTGCAACTTTATCCAAGTCTGTTCAGCCCTTCTCTGCCAAAGACATCCTAAACTCAGCAATATCTAGATAAGGTCAGATGTATTTCTATTAAGCCATTACAGGTTTTTTGTAAGAGGTCTTCCATTAATGAAGAACATTCAGAAATCAGGAGAAATATGAGTTTTGCAAGAATTGATTCACAACTTTCAACAGACTACAGATCAGGTAGCTTATAAACTCTATGCTATATTCCTCGATTACCTGCAAGAAATCTTTAGTGGAAATTCTCAGTTGCTAAGTGTGGTTTGTGGCAACATGCAAGAGTGTTAATAAATATCTACATGTATAAGCTTGAAATTGTATGTCAACATCTATAGTCCTTTTTTTGTCTATAAATGATGAAATTTTGATTTGATTTTCAATCCTATTATTGTCACAAAGGAAATAACACCACAATATCAATACATAACCTTAAAAGTAAAGGGAAATGCCACTAAGTTCCTATTGTGTACTCTCTGATTAAAATTACTTTTATTTGCTTCATTTTAACTTTTCGTAGTCTTGTGGCTATAATATTGATAATCTTAAGCATTATGTGGGCTGAATGCTCAATATGGGCTGGTCTATAGATTCCTTATCTAGAAAAGCCATTTTCTTCTTTGGTGAAGTCCACTTTTAATGCATTTTTCTTTCCATCATTTGACATACATTTAATTGACATTATAGCTGCCATTGTGGGTAATTTTTGGTCTTGCTTGCTTATACTTATCCTTCAGATGATACTTAAGTGTTTAAAAATTTAATGCTTTTTATCTAATCTAGAATGACAATTTCTTATGTTCAAAAATTTTGTTGCAACCAAGAGGCAATGGATGTCTTACTACCCTATAGCCATGCTCTATATCTATTGACTCCACATGGTACCATGTGAATATGGGAGATGCACAATCTCTTCTACCCATCAAAAAATTGGTTGAATTGATGGAGAGAAAAATGGGTCATTCTTTATTTTTCTATCGTTTATGCTTCTTTGAGATTTTGTATCTTTTGCATTTCTTGGTTGCTTTTCATGGTCTGGAGTATCTTTTTCTGCAGACGCTTCCATCATGTTATGTTGTTGTCCACGATAAGCAAGAGGTAGAGTCAATGGGAACACCTGACCAAGTTGACCATCAAAATGAAGGGAGGTGGCTGCATTTGGGAAGAGGAGGCAGGGGCCGAAGTAGTCGTGGTCGGAGAGGGCGCGGTCGTGGACGAGGAGGGAGAAGGTTGATTGGGAGTGGAAACTCCTCCAGAACTGAGCTTCGGACTGAAAATAATTGTAGTTTTGAGAAGGCCACAAGAAAATACACCAGAAGGGGTCGAACACGTGGCCAAGGTCATAGTCGTGGTCGTCGAACTGTTAGGCCTAGACAAAGATCTGAGAACAGGGTAGCTACAATTGACAAGCGTTCTCTTTTGGGCAGTTTTGTCACTGCAAGCAGCAGTTCTAAGCAGTGCAGAATTGAGGCATCCCCTGAGAGCTCAGATGGTGAACAGTGGGGAATCGGTGAAACAGAAAAGACATACGTTGAAGACGATGACAGCCGTCCATGTTTGGAATCTGGTGAAAATGGTCAAGCTTCAGGAGAGGATTATGATGATCAGGCAGTAGTATCCTCTGATAGAGATGAATGTGATGCAGACAAGCCTCAAGGACTAGTTGATGATGAAACTGAAGATGACTTAGGAGACATGGAGGGGGATGAAGAGGGTGAAGCGGATGATGATTATCACAATGGGAACGACTTGAATACTTATATGGATGACGAGGATGTAGAGATCGGGGATAATGCAGATGATGTTGGGGATGCAGAGGGAAATGGAGATGAAGATGATGATGTAGCATGGTCAGCTTCTTCGGAGTACAGTGATTAGGAGGGGGAGCACAGACCATCAGAGGCATGGAGCAGTCCAGTTAATAACTATGAATATGAAGATTCTCTCTCACAAAAGGTGGCTGTTTAACCAGAGGACTAGGAAAGTTACCTCTCTGCCATCTGTGGGGTGATTTTCACCTTGTGAGAAACATATAGTCTGTGGGAGACTGCTTTGTCAGAAACATATAAAGGTGACCGTGTGCCCCAGAAAAAAGCCATGGGAGACTGCTTTGTGAGAAACATATAATCTTATTAAGTCAGGTTCCTAAGTCCAATCTGTGGGGTGATTTTCACCTTCTGAAAGTTCTTCGTATAGTAGTAAGATATTTCATGTTTTTTTTTTTTCTTTTTTCTGTAGAATTTTGCTCTCGCATCTACTGGCAACCTTTGGTTAGAACCCAGCCGTGTTACTTCGATAGGGGGTTCAACAGGGGGACAATGGTGAACTTGTATTTGTGTTAGCAAATTGAGTTTAACTGAGGTCCTATAAATGTAGTATCGAATGAATTCTAATTCTGTAAGATTTATGATATGCATTACGTCAAAGGCCATCGTTTCGTGCTACACTGGACACAAACCTGAGCCCAAAGAAGGGATTGAATGACATGAGCGGACTTGATGGTCCTTGCGCTGCGGCTCCATTTACTTTGTATCAAAATAGGAGATGTTTGCGGTAGTCGATGACTAATTATTCCTCTCGTGAACGTTGAAGAAATGATACCGTTCCTGTAAACACTAATCAAACAAAGCATCGACCTCCAAACATCAACTAGTACTAATGCATCCTGAAACAACTATGCACTCCTGAAGTCTTGCCATTACTAGGTAATCTGATTATATGAAGCACGGGGCAGCTGAACGAGGTCCATGGCCAGATTTGGCGTGGGCACAGAGGATATAAAGCAAGCATCACCGTGAGAAGAAGCTTGAGGACCCCACAGACGAGAAGACGAGCGCGAGGGCGGCCACCGGCAAGCCTGCAAGCATCCATGCCGTGCCACCTTCTCTCTCTCTCTCTCTCTCTCTTGTTTTCCTCTTCCTACCTCTCTTATCCATCTTTCTTTCTATGCGATCGCTTTCTAATTTGCGCTCGATTCGTATGTGTGACCCGATCCGACTCAGAATTGGATCCGAACCTCTTCTGGCATGTCGCAGACTAATCGAATCGGATTATAAATAATGTTACACTCCTTTTGTCATTTTTTTATATATAGAAAATATATTTAAGCTTGGCTTGGGCATGTAGGTTCCACAAGCTGCATGCGCCAATAATAATAGTGTCTTGCTCACTATAGTAAGAAATGATGTGTTGTCTTCCAATGGCCAGTCCTCTGGGACATATGCCTTCTTCTTCTTCAAACTACGAACAAACTACTCTCCGCCAGTCACGCTGCTTCTTCAGGTAGGTATTCTCCAGACGAGAAGATACCTGCAAACATAAGTCAAAGGTCACGTATCTGCTCTCTCTCTTTTATTTTGCCTCAGCTCAGATGTAGGTCAAGTTAGACTTGTTACGCCCTTTAGCCGCCATTAGCTTTACACTACTATCCTCCAACACATCTGTATCCATGTGTTTAATTAAAGGGCCACATTAAGAGTTTTAAGTTAAGTTTTCGATTGCATGGTTGATCACTATAATCATTCAAGTTGGTAAGAAAGGGCAGATAATACCATATATAAAACACCCGCCTCGGTTTCACTGTTAGGGGTGTTCTTCCTTTCAGGATAATTGAGTGATTCATATGTCCTCTTTCTCCTCCTTCTTCTTCTTTATTCCTAAGATGTGGACTTTCTAGTTATGGCCAATGAGGTTCATGGAAGAGCACATGCAGCGTGCCTTAAGGCCATGATGTGCGGCCCACTTCCCCCCACAATCCTCGCATCATCACCCGGCCTTGACGATTGCCACTTCCCTACGTTAATTACACCCATAACACCATACAGTATCATCATCAGCATCATCTATATAAGTGTTGGTGTCCCTCCCACCAGCATCATCGTCTCCACTCCAAATGGCTACCTTGGTGAAGCAACTGCCCCTTCTCTTCCTCTTCCTCCTCGCCTTCTCTGCGTCCCAAGCAATCCATGCAAGAGAGAGCCAGTTCTTCAGTAAGACCTCAAGAGAAGAACCCAAGGAAGCCGCTGCACCCTCAAAGGGAGAGGCTCCTGCGGCCACCAAGAAGGAAGATCCCCCTGCGCTCCCTCCCCAAAGCCATAATGGCCATGGCCTTTACGGGCGTGGCCCCTACCGGTTCTCGCCCACCACCACGAGCAGCTACGGCACCTACAACTACAACGGCGGCGCCCGTGGGAATCGCGATTCTACCTTCCAATCCGGCGTCCCGGCTGGCACTGAGCTGGGCGGCGAAGAGAAATTCGAGAACGGGGAGGAGTATCATGCGGTGTACAACTACGGCACGCGATGGAAGCCTGACAACAACCGCCCCTCGTCGTTCTCGAACGAGTACGAGACGACGCCGACGACGACGCCGCCGGCGGAGTGGAAGGGCGAGACCGATCCCACCAAGCAGTACGGCATGAGCGACACCCGGTTCTTGGAGAACGGCAAGTACTTCTACGACGTTAATGCCGAAGGGAAACAGTACGCACAGCGTTCCTACCAGTGGAGGGGAAACCCTGAAGGATATGAGCCGTACACCGGCGCAAGAACTGGCGGCTATGGCGACAGAAGATATGGTTCTTGGAGGGGCGGCTACGGACACAGCAATGCCGGGGAAGAGTACCAGGGCAGCCAAGAGGACTACGTTCCTTGATAGACCCGCCGCCATTGTAGTAGCTAATGACTCTCCAAAGCATTTGGTTTCAGCAAGTGTGTTGATGTTCGAGTCATTCTCAATGTTTCTTTCTTGATGCTTCTCATCATGCATTCGGGTAGTACGATCGAAATGTAATGTTTCAGATATCGAGAAGTATTAGTGGTTCGTCGATTAATAGAGACGCGAGACTAACGTGCCATTTGCTTCGATTAAATCTTGCGAACCGGAGACCACCCGACTCGAACCGTGGTCCAGTCCGACCCTTCACGGTCGGCTCGATCTGGTGAAGACGATCCACTTGGTCATCGGTGGCAGAACGACGAGGCCGCCGAAGTCCTTCCTCCCACGGCCTCGGCGCGCCAGACCCCTCTCCCATCGCCCGGAGGAGGGCTTCTTGTGTGACACCTTCCGCTTCCTCGCCTTCTCCGCTGCCGAGATTCCCGCCAGCGATTACCTCTCCCTCGACGAGATCCTCGGCCCCCTTGGGACCCCGTCGCCGCCACGTTCCCCGCGGCCGGGAGCCGCATGATCCGGCCCCAAAAGGTTAAACTATCTATCTATCAGAAGATCGATCGGGTTGTGCTTTGTGTTGATTCCAATTTGTTCTTAATGTTTTTTAATCTATCTTAATCATGATTACTGATTTCTTCTTAGAGATGTGGGGAGCTGACCGTGAGATGGTGTTCCGTTTATTGTGGGTTTAGGTCTTGTGCATCTACGGTCTTTCAATCCGAATCAATCTATCGAGTAGGTCGATTGAGACATCTATTTTTCTAGTGTACTCATCGACTTTCTTTCACATTTATGGTTATTTTTCTTGTCATCATCTGATATGGATTTTTTATTACTTTACTGACCACTATGCATGCAAAATCTGCCCCTGCAAATGGTGATATCATTCGAACGTGTTGCGATTGCTGCAGAAATAATTGATTTTTCTGACTTCACCACTCCAACTCCGGAGGAACAACCTCACTTTTAAGATTTGGAACAGGTCCAGAGTGATAAAAGGGTATAATGAATTTCTTTCTGCAAAATCAATTTATGTTAGGGGGTTCAGTATCGTTCATTTCCATGTGTTCTTGCTTGATCCTATTGCGTTGTATAATGCTTGCTAGTCTTTTGTCCTCATCTTATACATGGAATTCGAAACTCAGAAACCATATCTGCTCAGATATAGTTTTAGCTTGGTCAGGTGAATTGTATTTAATGAATATTTATTTTATTTGAATTCATTAAAAATGAACTAGGCACCAGACAATGACATCAGGAGGAACTCTTGCAACTATTGTAAGGTAAGCTTTCTGTGCTTCAGCCTATCAACATAATTTTTCTCTGCTGCAAAATTTGATACATTTATGTAATTTTTGTGCTGCATTTTGAGAAGCTTGCACTTGCACTTGCAGCTCTAGGTCTGTGTTTTTGCAACACATTTTACCTGGTTCACTTAGGTAGTTCTTTGTTAATCGCTCATCTATGCTTTGGACAATTAGGGCAAACCCTAGTGCCACCACATATTTTTCATTGAGGTCTTCCAAATGACCACACTTTTTATTAATGTTTGAGACACTAATATTCATGTGGAAATTTGCTTTGCACAATCAATACTACTAAGTACAAAGCTTGACATAGTTTCACATCAATCTAAGGCAGGTGAGGTCTTCTTTGTTCCTTTCGGTTGCTTTTGCACTGTAGTCAACAATGTCAATAGCGGTCTCAGGTTTATTTGAGATCAAATATGGTGAGACTAAAACATGTAAAATGGAGTGCCATGAGTTCCATTAAGATCTTCATTCAGTGCTGTATGGCTCCACATTTATTGGGGAATGTGTGACCTTAGCGCACATCACCTGATGGTCAAGTTAGTCCGGTGCCTCCGGGCTACTCCAACACCCTTATCAGCAGGCTTCCAAACGGCACACATTTCCAAGTACTTACAACCTGAATGGCCGTTTGACGATGATTCTTGATATTTGGCTGTACATATAAATGGGAAATCTACAATGTCACAGGTAACTAACATCTGCTACCCTAAAGTCCAAATGAATGACAATGTTTCCGATAGACAAAATAATATGCATACTGAGGCTTAACTTGGTTTTTGTGGCTCTGAGCACCTAAAGCATTGCGCGCTTTATTTTATATTGCTTTAGGACATGGAACGATGCATTGAGGGTTTTCCTGATCTGTGGTGTGTCATGTCATGATGGTCAGATAACTGTACTTTTAAGAAATTTCTGATGTGGCTTAGTTGGAACTTCCACCTTGGAGGGTGGTTGCCTAATTTCTGATAGAGTATATGCAATAACAAAGTATACATCTTTAATTGCATTAGAGCATTTTGACATTTGTTTAGAGTTTTCCATGCATGGTTATAATTATGTTGCTATATCATAATTAATGCAGGATGTGCTGCTGAGTCGCTAAATTCTAACAATTTTGGTGTTTGTGAACATTTCAAATGCCTTCTCATTGTATGGTTGAATATAATTTCAACAGAGCACTTATTTTCTATCATCATATTATTCTGTTCTGTGATATGTCGGTTCTCTGTGTTGGTCCATGAGCCTTGTTTCTCTGCATTACTGTCCATTTTTTCTGAAGTATTAAACTGCTGCCTATGTAACTTCATTTTCTAATCACGAACTCGAAGCTAAACTTTCTAACATTTTAGATGCTACAGGTTAAGTCTGCTTCTGCAATGGCTTTTCTGCATCAACGCATGTGAAAGCCATCTCACGGTTGGACCCACGAAGGAGCATTTTAGGGACAATAATTAGACCAGATACACTGCCTTTACGTCGGAGAGGCAAAAATGGTGGACATCTATCTCACTTTAGTAACCTGCTTTTGGGGCAGGTGAACCAGCAGTTTGAGAGTGGGGATGATGAACCGCTGCCCAGGAAGAGACTCTATATTATAGATTGTCATTTAAGATGTTAAAAGTCGAGACATATATTAGGTAAAGGTGAGCATTAAGAGTGCCAGTGGAATGAAGCATGGGCAAGTGTCTCGGAACAGAGATTTTTCATTCTCCAAATCCTCTCTTAGCACTGTGGTCATATTCATTAATTGGCTGCAGCTTCCTGTCTCATGTAATTTCTTTCTCATATTTTGCAGATATCGGAACGGTTGATTATATTTTAGCAGCTGGTATGAAACATTGCGGGTTGAAGTTGATTAGATCGGCGAAGTCAACAAATATGTTATTCAAGTTTGGTTATTGTAGGTGAACTTTTACGCCGTGATCGAGGTGTTAACACGGCTCGATCCAGTCTCGGATGTATAAGGTTGCCCACGTGGATGCTTGGGTGATGAGGGTGAGCATCGGGTTGGGTTCGAGCCTCGTCCCCCGAGTACGGTCTTCTCTCTTGGTGAGTGATTTGCTTCTCCGTCACTGGACTCCTGCATATAGGTCAAGGTCGAGAGGGGGATTTCCTGACTTAGACCTCTCCGAAGCTTAAGTTAGCTTTTGGTGGAATGAGAGAGAGTCGAGTGTTCGAAGTTCCCTCTTATTGGTAAGAGAGTTAGCTTTTATACCTGTGGTAGGGTGGTCAGTCGTACGCAGTCCTTTAATGATCATCGACTCCTCGGGAGGATGACTTGTACCCTGCAACTGATTGACCCGTACGGGTCGGTATTGTATGGCGCCGTCCTGAGTTTTACGGAACGACCTCGGGGTGTCCGACGTTGTATGGGTTGACGTCGTTCGACACCGTCTTGTATTTTGTGGAGCGACTCTAGGGTGTCTGGTGTCGACTCGTACGACGCCGAATAACGTGGAGGTCGCTTGGTTGCCTTGTTCATGTCTGAAGTATCATTCTTCATCAGCCCGAAAGTCCTTTGTCTGCTACTATGTGGATAATGCCAAAATGTGTCATATCAGTTATGAAAATTGTTGGTGTGAGGATATGTTCATACTGTTCTTTCGATAAGTTTTCTCATGTTATTATTTCTGTGAATAAAACAAAATTTGGTGATAACACTAAGGAGGGCGAGGAGTTTTCATTTTGAGTTTGCTATATCTTTTAGCTTAATTGGACTGTTTTCAATGTTAATTTTTCTCTGAGTTGAAATTTTCCATCTATTTTGAAGGAGTACAAAGGTGTCCATGTGGTTGTTTCTATTGGTTAGTGGAGAAAATAAATCCTAAAAATTGGAAGGAAATTAGCTTGTAATAATATGATTTGCAAATTTTGATTTTGTTTAAATCCTATAGTTGTTTGGATGAACTGTCCTGAAAATGATCATTTATAATAAAAGAACATATCATATAGTGTACTGAAAATTATTATTATTATTATTATTATTATTATTATTATTGTTTGTAAAAGTGAGTTATAATTCACGCCAAAATTATTTCGGGCCAATTAGAATAAACCGGACATCCTAACAGACCACACGAATTGTACTGATTCATGAAACAGCAGACATTACAGGAGATCCATCGACACCCCCAACCCAAGCCGACGTCATAGAACCGAGGAGCCTGCGTCACCATATCTCCCCGACGCTCTGATCCAATTATTCCTCTCGCGTTGTCGACTCCGAATCTTGATTTGTCTGCTCTTCGATGGCGATCTGCGCTCCCTCCTCCTCGGATTCGTCGTCGGGATCCAGGGCGTGGGTGGTCCACGCGGCGTTGCTCGGGGCGGCGATCGCGGCGGCGGCTGGGGCACATTTCTACCTCCGCCGCTGGTCCAGCGGGTTCCGGAGCCGGGTGGTCGGCATCATCCCCGCCCGGTTCGACTCCTCCCGCTTCCAGGGCAAACCCCTCGCTCAAATCCTCGGCAAGCCCATGATCCAGGTCTCACTTCCCTCATTGATCTGTTTTCACTTTCAGATCTTGCTTATTGTGATCCAGGTAATGCATTCATGTTGGAGAGATTTCTCTTCCGAGATGGGATTTGGAGAAGTTACTGGGCTAGAAAAGATGATCTTGAGATGTACAAGACCAGTGGGTTTGTTATTGTAAAAACTTATCGATAGGAAAGGCATCCCTCAGCTTGGCTGAAAGGGTTGGGCGTTCGAATTCGGTAGGCGCCATGTTTTCTGCGTGTGACGAGCTTCATCCATGCTTTCTGCATGTAGGAATGTGGCTGCTTGTGGGGAATAGGAACAAAGATGGATGAGAACACTGAATATTTGAGAATTAGGCTGGTGAGGCAGGATGTATGTGAGTCAATGGGTTTAATCTTGGTTTGTTCCACGATGTCCATCTATAAGCTTACTTGTTCCATTCGGCTAACTCCTAGAGCTTCTGGCGGACTTCTGTTCATGGCAATATGGGGGGTCATAACTGTATATCTTTAAGAATTAGAATTGTTGTAAGAATTGTACTATTATCTTCATCTTTTTTATAAAAAAATTTAAAAATCACTCTTTATTCTTGGATAGAATTCTATGTTAAGTATCTGCTGCATGCAATTGATTGCTTATGTTGTGATGTTTTTACAATATCTTTATAGAGAACATGGGAGAGAGCAAAGTTAGCTTCAACCTTGGAGAATGTTGGTAAGCGTCCGTAAACAAGTACGTCTCATGAAATATATCTTTCCTTTCAAAGAAAACATCAATGGTTCTCTTTACTGTATATGGTAATATTCTCTTATGGAGATGAATTTTAGGTATGTGTTATGTGCTAAATTTATTACTACATTCAAAATTCAAAATGACTCGTTAATGCTAAAATAAGTCTTCACATGTCTAGACCTTGGATTACATATAAGTATGAGTTCTTATGACAGAAAAGGGCTCTTTCAGTCATTTTATTGGCTCTCATCTCATTATTGTCACAAAATAGTGGTAATTGTGTCAGCTTCCATGGAATTTTAATTATTTCGAGATAGATTTCTATCATACGTTCATCCAAATCTTTTTATGAATTTAACAGCCAATAGTATCGCTTTCTTTCTCTATTTTGGTCTATGGCAGTCTACTTGGTGAAGAATCCAGTATTTGAGAAATGGAAAGTTTTTGGATACGTATATCAAGCTTGATACTTGCTGTTGACTCAAAAGTAGATTGTCAGTTAAGCGAAAATGTGTGGTTTAATCTTGTACACTAATATAAGAAAGATGAAAGAACTAAATCTTCTTCTGCAAAGAAGATGATTCTGTGAAGACAATTACTTTCTCTAGAGCTATGCTGCAAAGTCTCAGTTGCAATCTCTCTAAAGACTTTAAATTTTACATTTGTGACATTCCATACACTAATCCTCATGTTTGTCATTCTTTTTGAGTTACAAAACAAGGACAAAGAATTCTCACATAGTATTATCGGAGGTTTGTTCACTGAAAATCATATTCTATCAATGTCCTAAATATATGAGATCACATAAATTTTGACATAGCAATTTCCTAGAATTCGTGCTTAAAGTATGATGATGCAACTATTAATTATTTGAAAGTTTTTCTTCTCTCTTCTTCCTGAAGTCCATATTCTCTTTGATTTGGTTTCCCTTGTATCTGTAGTTGTTGCAACAGATGATGAAAAGATTGCAGAATGTTGTAGAGGATTTGGAGCAGATGTCGTAATGACATCAGTTGGATGCAGAAATGGTAATTGTGTCCTTTTTGTTTATGTTCCATGGAATCCTAAGTTTAGTTGCTTATTATGTTACTGTTTGTTCGATTTGTAGGGACTGAGCGTTGCAATGAAGCCCTTGAAAAACTTGGAAAGAATTATGACATTGTTGTCAATATCCAGGGGGATGAGCCTCTTATTGAGCCTGAGATAATAGATGGTATTGTTAAAGCATTGCAGGTGGTCACCACATCTATGTTCTGCTGACTCGTTTTCTTTTCCTTATTTTTGCAAAAGTAGTGCTACATTTTCAAAATACCATGCATCACTAAAAAACAGGGTGATGGATTTACTTTATATGTAGCCACAGAGGCCAAAATGATTAAATATTTGATCCCTGCAAATTGCAGATCCTAGATAATAAGGGTTATAAGAACATAGGAAGATCCTCTTTGTTTGATGTGGCAATTATTAGGAAAAAATCTCAAACATGAGATAAAATGAAAGAACTCATGATATTATGGTTGTGCAACATTTTGTAATTAAAAAAATATATAAAAAATCTAAAATTATCCAGTATCTTCAATAGATTCGGGAGATATCAGCGACTACGCTGGATTAGAAGGGTTTGTTTCACTTATTATTTGATGATGTAAGTGTAACCATGAATAACTTAGCTGCCTCCATCTTTTTTCTAGTGTGCTTTGCATTTGCTTAGAGCTAGTCATATATCTTCTTTCATCAATAACTAAATGTTTGCTTTTGATTAACTTTCCTTTTGCCTTCCATCCCCTGGTTAACTTGTTGAATAATCACATCTTTCTTATTTTGTCCTCGTCGATGATGAGTTATGGCAACAGAGTAAATTGCTTTGTTTTAACAGTAGTGACATATGGTACACATGATCTTGTATTTAAAATATATGTTCTGTTGCAAACACAATGGTGCCATATTACACTGTAGAAGTTAGAAATTTGCAAGCTGCAACAAATTCAGACATTTTGCCTTGAATATGCAAAACTTTTCTTTCTTTCTAATAGTTCACTTCACTGGTATATCCTTATTCTCACAAATGGACCTTTGGTTCAGATCTATCAATACCAATTTTCAGAATTTTGTACAACAGTTAGATTCATTTGCCTGCATCATTATGACTGTTCTATGTTGTATACTTCTATTATACAATTTACTAATTATGATTTCACAGGATATTTTTCCTATTATTACTTTTATTGGAGCATGTTGTATGTCATAGGGAGCTCCTGATGCTGTTTTCAGTACTGCTGTCACGTCCTTGAAACCTGAAGATGGACTTGATCCCAACAGGGTAAAGTGTGTGGTTGATAATCATGGTTATGCGATCTACTTCTCAAGGGGATTGATCCCATTCAACAAGTTAGTGTTATCTTTCTTTCATATAACAACACATCTTGGATTGTTTCATAGCTCCTTTGTTATTAATATCATATGCTTGTGTAATCCAGGTCAGGGAAAGTTAATCCACAATTTCCTTATCTACTTCATTTAGGCATTCAGGTCTATATCTTACTCCTTGAAGATGCTTATTTGTTGTCTAGTATTTTGCATTAGGTAGTTTTCTAATGGTAGTTCCTCCTTCTAAGTTTGATCCGCTATTATTCTGGTTGATATCTTGATGTTACTTCTTTTATTCTCATTGTTGAAGCTTTTTGTCTGATCAGAGCTTTGATGCAAAGTTCTTGAAGATCTACCCACAACTACCACCTACTCCTCTGCAACTGGAAGAAGACCTGGAGCAACTTAAAGTGCTGGAAAATGGGTACAAGATGAAGGTAATTGAGATACCAATCTCTTATTAGAGGGCTTATTACCGGGTGAAGGTTTTTAATGTCTTTTCCGAGAACTGAGTTTCATCTTCTCAAACCATATGACCTGATGATAATGAATGCTTGCTACCATTTCATGAATAAATTTGGTGTAATGGGTGCAATGGAAGTATACTTTTTCAAATTTCAAAATTTTCTGACATACTCACATTTTCCAAGCAGGACAAAAAAGCACTAATTTGACCATCTTAAAACTGACATGTCAACAATTTCTGGTCTATAGTTGTTGCGAGAATAGCTTGCCTAGTTTTATATGATGCTCGAATGACTCTCCACAGAAGATGATACGTCATTTTGGCTGTTATATTTCCTCAAAACACATGCAACATTTTAGAACTAGTTGGTTTGGACTTGTTCACAAGCATAAATATACATGACAATGCTTCTTCTCTATGCTGCAAATTTGTTTTCACATTTGGCCTTCTTTTTTCCACTTAGTTTGAGAAAGTAGGTCACTCGTCCCATAATTTCCTATTTCTGTATTGCAGGTAATCAAGGTGAATCATGACGCCCATGGTGTAGACACTCCCGAGGATGTTGCAAAAATAGAAGCATTGATGCGAGAAAGAAATATTGCATAGTGGAATGACTGAAACGGTATGAGAGATCTGATGCATTCCTATGCAATTAAGCGTCGGAATGAGCATTTCATAGGGTGGATCAACATCTTTACCATATGATTCTTATGTTACTCTACTTCTTAGTGACTATTTCGTTGTTGTTGCTCATTCAATTTGTAGCTTTTATCTTGACAAGATAAGTTTTATATCATATCGGTTGTATCGCATGACCAACTGAATCAAAATAAGGGAGATTGCTCGGTGAGCTATGTTGTATGTATGAGATTATAATGAGAAAACTTCTGTATTTGCATCTTCTTTCGTACCTTTGCTTCCATGCTAGACTAACGTAGCCAGATTTGGTCTTCAGAAAACATGTGCCACATCAACATCTCTAACCCAGAAATGAACTTTGCAGTTTCGGAATTGTTCATTTAAGCCTTTTTATTTTGTGTCATACAAGTTTAGATGCGACTTGTTTCGAATTTTTGTATATGATGAGTTTACCTAAAAATGATTCCTGTCCGTAAAGAAACCATTGACTGCTCTTGATGGTGATAGATAGTAGTGATGCTTGTTAGGAATACTGTCAGACGGTCGCATGTTTCTAGGAAGAGTGGTGTTCGACAATGCAGGAAAGTTATCTCTTTATCTTTTAATAATCTGTCAAAGTAGTCCTCCTTTGCATCAAAATAAAAATAATACATCTTCTATAAAGTCCATCTGCACAAAAGGCCTTATGGTAATCAACTCGAGATATAATATCAAACATTTCCAGCTTCATAAAGTTCATATGTTTGTTGTCCTCGTGCGCCATCACTGTCGTGCTTAGTAACATAGAATTTAACCCCGTTCGATCTTCTGGATCCAACACCAGCTTCCTGGCATCATCCGTTATGCTGCTATTCAATCCCATTGCTTTATTCTGAGACATCCACTAGCTTGCAGGATATGTGCCTTTTTTTATGCGGAGGTGTTAGAGCCTAATGCAACGGTTTGTGACTGCTTTATAGACTAATGAACTGTGAGTTGTCTTTCGGTGCAGCGTATTTTAAGGCAATTTGATTCGCTTCACTCCTTAGTGCTTCTTTTTGAATGATTCAGCCGTAAGTTGTATTGTTGTGTAGCCGTAAGATGAATGATTCATCATCGTAAAAGAGAGGCATTTAATTAGATTCTATGGTGTTTGTTCTTCCTTCAGAATGCATCATCATCGACTCCAACAAATCTCGAGATCGTTATAAATAACTGGCAAAGGAAAGTAAAAAGTCGATGCATGAACGTCAAGACAACTATGAAGAAGAAATAAGCCAAAGAGAAGGAGAAAGAAGGGAAGAACACGCAGATGAAGGCGTCGTCGGCAATGGCCGTAGTGGGGCTAATAATGGTGCTGGGGATCTGGTCCTCCCGGGACTTCTCTCTTCCTGTCACCGACTATCAAAACCCTCCCCCTCCACTCGAGCTTCCAAGCTAAGCTGTGGCATTCGATCGCACTTGCTTTGATGTTCTCATCCCAACGCTCGCCGCCGCGATGATAGGGCCGTGCTTCATCCGTGCGCAGGAAACCAACACACAGGAGCAGGAAGAGCGCCGCTTTGCACCAAGCCGCCATGCGACGTTTGCACCGAGTTGTGATGGTACATCCATGCCTCCCTCTCTCCTTATATAAGTAAGCATGTCGGCAGTGTCTCCATCGGTCTATGGCGGCATGGGCTCCAGAAAAATCCAGCCAACAAAACACTTGGTGCATCAGATGCACGAACCCGACGCTCCCGCCGCAATCGCCACCATGTCGTGAGTCTCCATTATTCTCTCTATATGCATAAACAATCAGTAGCTCGTTGAGATGCTAAGCGCGCAATGGAGATCAAGGTCCATGTCGAGGTGCGCATCTCCTGTTTGACAGAATGCGTGTGATACATAATGATAATATAGTTAGCTATAGCTAAATGCTATAGGTTGTTGGATCATGATCATTAAGAGCCACCTTATACGAGATTAAGGTAGTACAGACTGGAGAAGGCCACTTTTATTATTTTTATGATGCAATTTGCTCTTATGGCAAACAGCAAATGCGATCACCTACTGACCCTTTCTCCACGCCTGGTTTCTATTTGACCTCGCTAACACTCCAAAGGCCGTCTTGCAGCCGTATCAGAACAAAACTAAGGTATAGTGCAAAGCTTTAGAATTCCCAATTCCCATTTGTTGGCGATTAGTGTTAAGTCGAAGAGAATTATTGTGTTGCAATTATTACTTAGAATTTGGTAATTGTAAGCATATAAAGTTGATTTGATTGTTTGACATGCCGATTAGTGTCACAAAGCTAATCGGTTCTGAGATCATTCATCGCAAGATGATTAATATCAGGGGAGGATTCGATCAATAATGACCTACAAGAAACTAATTAGGAGCGCACCCGATGAGTTTCTATCGATGCTCAATGAGCTTATTAGCTATAGTGTTCAATGAGCTGACCTGTAATCACTTAAATTTAGTTGGCAATTACGATAGAAATGTTGAAAATTTGGTGTCGGATTGGTGTCGACGTGGCATTCAACGTTTCATTTACGCATTTCACAAGCCAAAGTATTCGTGCCACTTTGATAACTGTCAGCACCATGGTTTACTATGGATGACGTATGACAGTCAGTCAATGCCCTTTTTATTGGACTTGGATTCGAAGGCGACGCCTCCGAGCTTCCTCACACGGTTGGATAAGAAGCGTACATAGCAATGCCGCAGAGCCCTTCCGGTGCACCAGCAGCACCTCTCTGGATCCTCATGTACCCACTCTCGCCCCACGACGCACCCCATGAGTTCTTCACGAGCCAGTACCGAGTTCCATCGGCCGTCGTACCGTAGCCGACGACGGTCACTCCATGATCCAGGTTGGTGCCGCACTTGCCCGTGAACACGCCACTCGAGTAGAACTGGAACTCCGGTCCGCCGGCGTCGATGGCGACTGAGACGGGCTGGCGTGCTACTGCCTTCAGCAGCGACGGCTCACCGATCCCCGGCACGCTCTCATACCCGCTTATGGTGGCTTCTTTGGAGGATGACTTGACGGCGTCGCAGGTGCCGTCGGATGCGGTGTAAGGGTAGTTTGCATCGGTCGTCAACCCGCCGTTGCTGATGATGAACTCGAAGGCATCCTCGACTGCGCCCCCATTGCATCCTCGGTCCTCGCCGTAGACGCTGCAGTCTATGAGTTCTTGTACCGACAAAGGGATCAGCTTTCCGGTTTTGAGCTTGATGATGCCTTCTGCTGCGGCTACAGCCGAGAAGGCCCAACAGCATCCTGCGTTTTTAATAGCAATGCTCGACTCAGGAAATGCAACAGCATCTTAATTACACTCCTTTCTATTGGTAGTAGTATACCGCATTCTCCTTGATTCTTGACAGGCGTCACTGCTCCCCTACTCCTCCAGTCCACGGTGGGAGGCACGATCGTCTCGTTCTCGTATCTGAAGGTTGGAGCCGCCTTCGTAGGCGTCGGCCTGAATCCACCGTGCGAAGCCTTGAACTCATCGTTCGTTAGGTCAGCATACCGGTTGATGCGGAGCTTGTACTTGCGGTGGGCGTCGTTGACGGTGATTACGTACTCGACGTTGCGTTTGAAGATCTGGAACCGGCGGTCCTTCTCCGCTGCGTCCCTGTACACGCGCCCGTGCTGCGCCATCCACCGCTCGTGCCTGAGGGACATGGCCATGTCTGCAGCGGTGCGGCGGCAAGCGACACCGGACGCCCTGAAACCTAACACAATGAAGGCAAACAAGAAACACAGGCGATTTGCCGATGTCATGATGTTATACTGGTTCGGAGAAGGAAGGAAGGAAGAGAGTGAAGTGATTCGGTAGGCGATGACACTGCGGAGATGGCGATTATATAGAGCGAGGAGGGCATGATCGACGGAAGGGAATGCAAAGAACGAGAAGGACGAGCTTCTCAGAGCCGCAGAGTTTGAAATCTTGCATGAAATGGGATGGGGATGGGGGTAATGTTGTCTCCTCCTCCTCCGTCGTCATGCGGAGAACATAGTTTCCGACTCTTACGCTCGACCTTGTCCGGAAGCTGTAGTAGCTTCAAGAGGTTGGGAGATCCTACGTGAGTTCGAATCTCTGGTGGCCTATCACAGAACGTTCGTTGGTGTGAATATATAGATAGATTGATAGAGAGAGAGAGAGAGAGAGAGAGCTACCGATGTCGGATATTGCATGGGCTCCAATGGACGTGATGGATGGAGCCGGCCGTCATAGCCGTCTCTTCGGCGCGCGGGTGTTGTCGACGAACAAGATAGGGGATGGTCCACCTCATCACATCATACGTGGTCCTTTGCGTGATCATCCCAACTTGTGGCACGAATCACCACGGGGCTGGCTATCCCACGCTTGCCTCGTGCATGTTCCCGCAGCGGTCCGTCGTGCCTTGCAACTCACGCGGCCGCAATCCCTCGCGCACTCCACCGCGAGCGTCCGCTATCAACCGGATATCGATTTGGGATTTGGATGGCAAGTAACAGTAGCCGACGCGACTGTTCTCTCTACGTGTACTTCAAATCCTCATGATTTATGTGGATTACTAACAATCGAGCACCCAACAAATTTGAGTGTTGTCGTTTCAACTTTCGCAACAAACATAGACGAAGGGGAATCGGAGGTATTCTCCTTTAAGTTATTATTTATTTTTGTCAGGTTCCAAGAAATTATTTATCTATTTGAGTAAATCCAATAATCGATCTAAGAATAGAGGATGACTCTAACATTTATAAGGTATTAATTCATCATCTATGTCTCAATCGGATATGCGATTAAGCATACTTATCACATATATATTAGGGAGACATACATTACTAATTAATGAAAGAAGTCTAGTGTGATCAATGGCTTAACATATGCTTTCTTTTGTTTCTAAGAAATATATCAAGAATCTATATTAAAACTAAACGATAATTGCCTTTTTTAAATATAAAAAAAATTATTTATTTTTTTTTTCAAAATGAAATATTAAAGTATTTTTTTATTCATTTATTAGCTACAAATTGAAATAAAAATTCTCTAGCTTTTGTTGAAAATTTTAGTAAAAGAGAAAGATATAGAGTATTTTATCAGAAAAAAATTTCACTATTGATTTTTATTAGACGAAGCCTTCATATTCATTTTTTTACTTGGATAAAATAAATACCTCCGAACTTTTTGTTTAAATGACTTTCGAACTTAGTCATAATATATAAATCAATCTAGTCTAGTTCCTACTTAACCAAGTTATACTCGAAACTGAACTAAGTTACACTAAATCATATAATATAATCGAAAAAAATCTTAATTTTGATAATTAATTATCATAAAATTTTGAAAAAAAATAAAAATGATATTAATCATAAAATTCTAAAATAAAAAAACTTGTATGGAAGTTTAAGTTGGTTTAGTAGAAATTGACTAAGTTATCCTCAAATTGAACTATGATACAGTCCATTAGAATACTGATTTCGCTCGTCACTCGTTATTGGATGCTGCTTGCCACATTTTAGAAGAGGAAGACTCTATTGTCGGATGCCACCTATCTCTTATCCCATTATATTATAGAAGAAGAAACTCCATTACCTTACGTTGTTTGTCACTCACCACATTGTAAAAGAGGAAGACTCCATCGTCCGATTCCACTCCAACAATAAGCGAGATTAGGAAGCCTTTGCTCGCTTGTATGGAAGGAGTTAAAAGAGTTTATTAGAATTAAGTGATAAGTTATAGAATTATAGGGATAAGGGAGCTATAGAGATATATATTAGGAATAGACATCATTTATGTCTATTTATTGAGATATATCTTAGGAATAAAAAAAAATTAAAATAAAATTATAAAGAGTAAAAAAAGGTTAAAGTATATCTATCTTTTGGAAGATCTAAAATAAGTTGATTAAATAGAGTTACGGAACTCTTGGTTTAAATTATATTTCACATCTATAAATAGATGATATCTATATGTGTAAATCTATCAAGTATTCAAGCTTATAGAATAGTTCAAGATCTCTCTAATTTTTTTTTAAAAAAAATTAATATATTTTTTTTCGTCTTAGTTTTTTCTTATATCTAGTTTGATCTTGGGCTCGTAATACCTTTTTACTATTGTTTAAAAAGAAACTATATTTGCATGTGATCTCTTATAGAAGATAAGATTTCCCTAACTATACGAGGAAATCTTTTTATTCTGTTGAGGATTTAAGTTAAAATTTCTTCAATAAAGCTTTTTCAATAATTGTTCTAATCTTCTATTATTTTTATTATGGTATCAGAGTAGTGAGAAAAGTGAAGCTTTGCTTTTGCCCACCACGATAATTTTTGTTGATTTGCCAATAGTTGACGGACTTGGAAATGACAACTTAATGTATTTAAGCTAAAACTACTTCAATAAAACTTATAAACAATAAAAATAAAATTAAAACAATACGATAAGGTGTTTGAATTTTTATAACCAAACTAGTAATTGATATTAAAAAAAAAACTCAAATCTTCAACAAGTATTTTAGATAAGATTCTTACCACACCATCATTTCTTATCTCATCCCACCTCCCCACTTCGCGTTGCCTCCACATGAATATAACCACCCATCTTATACACCCACGTAGTCATGCTTATCAATTGGGAAACAAGAAAATATACGAGATTTGTCTTGAATAGCAGGTTTACAAGAACAGCTTTCACCTAAATTTCTGATATAGCAATCCTTTTCTGCAAATTGAAATATTCACTTAAGATCTCAATAATACTCAAATGCTTTTATGAGATCTAGCCATTTGTTAATTGAAATTCAAACATTCAAAAGAATCAGCTAGGACTCATTAAATAGATTAAACAGCCACCTCATCTTTTGTGGCCTCTTCTTATCGAGTATCTTTTGACTGCATACAACAGCCAGCACGTCCGTTTAAGCATCCGACTAATCCGCTACATTTCAATTGATAACAAAGCTTATCTGCGCACCTACCAAAGCGTCCGAATTCACATGTGTCTCCAATTAAGTTAGATGTGGCCAGCAAAGGTCTCATAATTGTCCGTACGTGCGTCAACCCTCCTGTATGAAACCAACCTAATCATCTATTTTTCCTGGTATCACAAATCTTTTTCGCTCCTTCGGCCTCTGTTGTTCTTTGGACGGCAAGAAAACAAAGTCATCTTATCTTCTATTATGCATTGAATAATGTGGATAACGTTGTTAATGTCAGAGGTCGGGAAGCGTTCGACGGAATTGAAATGGTTATCCTCTTCTCACCAGGTAGAGTGAATCACTCACAATTATTCATTTGTGGCTTTCATCGTTATGCATAACAAAAATCTATTTATCTTCTTTTTTGTCTTGATAACGTGTCGTAGGATTTTGCTCATTTTACGTATGAGGATTCCATGCACTTTCAGTTAAAATGGATTGATCTTTTATGCTCAAAGTTGGATCCTCAAGTATTGATAGTCTTGTAGGGTTTTTTTCTATCTATCTGTAAAGAATAAATGACTTATGATGATTTATCAAAGTTTTTACCAACCAGATTGGTTATTTATAACACATATATAGTTACAATAATTTTTCTCAATTCTTGTGGACGTTTTAACATAATTTTCCTCTCTTTTTTTTCCTTAAAATATCATATTTTTACATCTCATCTCCTTAGTAATAAATATTGTAACCCTTTTAAGTTTGTAAGAAATTCAACAAAAAGACAGATTATCAAAAGGACAAAATGATCATTGAGTAATTGTGTCCACACAGTCTTTTTCTTTTTTCTGCATTTGTTCACTCTTTCGAGAGACCTTTTTAGTTTTCCTTTTTTTGTGTGTGTTTCTTCGCTTAAGTGAGTGATCTCGAATTTGAATGTATTCATGAAACGATGATAATAGTTTGTTCATCCATTCGCTTATCGATTAATTTTCTTCTCTTTTACGAGTGCTATGATAGTGTGTGAGGCTTAACTAAGTGAAGTGTTTTTTTAACGACTTAGGGCAAATTACAAAGTCGTCTGCTGAATATTATGATGTTAAATTATCTATTTTTTAATACTATTTTGTATCTATCTTTTAGCTCAAATTAAATGATGATAATCATAATTTAAATGACTATTTTGATATTTCAAGAAAAATTTGATAAGAGATACATTTATGTAATATTTAAATGAGCTGTGTTTGTTGTTTTGAATGCTGATTGGAGTGGAAACCCTGAGAAGGCAATCTTTGTAGATAGGGGAGGGGAAAGTGGTGGCTTATTTAATAGAATCACAAGGTAGAATACAAATGGCAAGATAAGAGGCACATCCCCACCACCAACTGACCACAATGGCAAAAACATCCACGTTCATGGATTCATGGAGTGATGCTGAGGGTCGGGCCCTCCGGGACTCAGCCTCTCCGAGCCCTCCACCACCTCTGCCATCTCCCCGTGCACCGACCCCGTTGCCAACGCCACCTGCTTTCTCGTCTTCGAGCTAACAAGGCCATCACCATACGACGACGCCTCCAAAGGGAGAACTCGGGCCTCCGCAGTGTTAGTGACGAAGAAGAGCAGCAGCAGCAGCAGCAGCAGCAAAGCAGCGACTCCAAGGCGCCATCTCAACATCTGTGTCGTCTTTCATGTTCATGGGGGTCGCTGGGAGCCTTCGGAAACATTTATAACCGTCTTCCACTGCTGGTGGGGAAGCACTAAGAATTATCAAACTTTTCTCTGACTTCAATTCCAATGGAATCATTTCTCTCAAACAATCTTTTCTTTTCATGTTTCTCTTACTAGCATAATTCTTTAGTAGATGAAAAATCCTCACAGTGTCCAAGTTTATTTTCTCCCATGGCGGGCTTCTTCTCAGAGCCTACAAGAAATGCATTCGGAGGCCCAAAGTCCACCAAAAGCCTTGACACAGCCCGACGTGGGAAACTCCAAGAGCGACACGGACCGTGATAAGCTGGTGGAATCAAATCACTCCGGACAATTGTTAGGGGTGGTGTCACCTCTCACAAGTCTGATATATATATATATATATATATATATATATATATATATATATATATATATGCGGGCCCCGCCTTATCAGCCCCGAAAATCCTTAGGGGGGCGATTTCACCAAAATCTTTTTTTAGC